TTTTTTTCCTCTTATCAAGAAAAAAGATGAGTAAGATGAAGTATGCATTTAATCTCTTTGATGGCAATATGTGAAATATTCATAAAAATGTTCATAGTCAAAAAGTCTGTATGGAAAATATCAAACATCTAATTTTTAGTGACCAAGATACTCTGTATTGAGGAAGGCACCTAAGGACATAGGAGAGACTGAGGAAATGTTGAAATGATTAAGCTTACTTTTACAAGCAGGAGCTCCAAAAATGTTGACATGATTCTTCAGACAGCTAAATGTCTTGACAACCTCCTCGCAGAGGTTCTAGTTAGTGACAGGCTGTGCTGCCACCCCAGTGGCTGGTGCTGGGACAAACCTGCAGGTGGGACAAGGCTGTGGCTGTCCCTCGGGAGCAGCTCTCTCTGCCCGGCTGGGGATCTGCCCGCCTGCCTGTGGTGGCGGTTGGGTTGCAAGTGCATCTCTTGTCTTAGATCTTTCCTTTCTCCGTGTTATTCTCGTTAGGACAGAAAATGGAGAAGGGAAAAGATCCTCAGTGCTGGGATCAGCACAGGGGTGTGAGGAGGGCATGGGGGCCGTGGCACGCAGCCGATGGGTGGGAGGGAGTCCAAGGGTGGGAGGGAGCAGCACAATCTCCCTGGCACAGAGTGGATGCTTGCAGCTTTTAACTCAAGGCAATGCAAAACTGCACTTTTCTTCTGAGGGGGTTGCAGAGGAGCTCTGTGGGGCAGGGCAGCAGAAATGCCCCCTTTGCCCGAAAAGAGCAGCCATGGGTGGAAGCTGGGTGGCACAGGGCCAGGGCTGGCCCTGCCATGTGTCCCACTGCCCGGCCACTACCGTGCATTTGCAGAGTCGCCCAGGCAAGCCCTGGCAGCCTGAGGGCTGCGTGGCCCAGCTGGCTCACTGTTGTCAAACAGTGAATGGCCACAATGCTTAACTGGGAACAAACATCTCCTCCTTGTCCTACCCACAAAGAATGCTTAGTACCCTTGCACATGTTAATGACTTCACAGCCTCTTGCCATAAGCAGTTAAATGTTTGCTTTTCTGGGGTTAGAAGGGACAAGAGTTTAAAACTGAGTCTAAGAGACATACAGGAAGATGCAGGTTCCTGCACAGGACTCGTACAGAGCAGAGCAGAACCAAGAGTGATTAAGACAAACTGGATCTTGCAGATGGGGAAACTGGGTCACAGAATAGTTCAGCAGCATTAAGTCAAGCTACATCCAATATAGCACCAAGTCAGAGGTTTATGGAGTATTAAAAGCATACCCAGCTTCTGAATCACAGGTCTGGGTCCCTTGCTAGTAGAAATGCTGCTAGATGGTAGCAGGGACTTGGCATACTTGCAGAGATTTTAAATTACAAAGTCGGAAAGAAATAGGAATTCATTCTTCTGGTTACTGACTTTGACCTTTCTATTCAATGGAAATAATATCCCTGCTTCATTCCTTTACACAGCTAATGTCATCATGAACATCTCTGAGCAGAATGTTGTGTTTAGACATAGAAAATACTGTGAGGCCAAAATCTTGGGTTGCAAGCCCAGGTTTGCAAATGGAAGACCATTTGTCATCTGGGAAATGGAAGTAGCGTTGTGGACAGAAAAGATTGGGGACCTCTAACTTCACATGAATATTTTATATAAACTTTAAAGACAAAAAAAAAAAGGCATAAGGAACCAGATGGCAAAACCAAAACAAATCAATAAATACATCCCAAAGGATAGTACACTTTTATTTATGAAAATATTAAACCTTATTTATATGGAAGAATAATCACGCTGAAAGAAAACCTTATTACTCACAAATTTGTATACGTGCTGCAGCTGCAGGGAGACAAAACCATTCTTGAGTTCTAGATATGTTTCTTCTGCTTTCCTCTATTTCTTTTGAGCCTTAATTAGAGCCAGATGTTTCCTATTTCCTTTCTTTTTTGTTTTCAAGCCTGAATAAAGTATGGTGCCAGCAGTAAACACCATCTTTGACATTTTTTTGTGTCAACTGCATCTGGCTGAGTCGGAGTCACAAACCAGTAAAATTCCAGCAAGGTAGTGCAAGCTTTCACTCCTGTTGTCATTCCCATCGGGAGCACGCAATCAGCATGACTGCTTCTGGGGTGGCCACACAGGAGCCATGAAAATCCCGAGGTGTCTCTGAGAACCCGGTCCCTGGTAAATAACACTGGAGGCAGACCAGAATGCCATATACCATGAGTGCAGCTACCCCTCCCATAAACTTAGAGTGCTGGGAGTGATTTCTAGTTGCTTACTTGCTATTCAGTTGCATAGATCTGTAGTCTATTTCCCATTTCTTCTTCCTCTTCCTCGGGAAGGCAATAGCTGGTAACCACAGTACATAGGCGTAACAATTTCTGCTCTAATTTAATGCCCATGCTGTGGCATTGACCTCTTAGGTACCATCCTCTGCAGAATATTTTGTCATTAAATGGCAGTGGTCTATATGTGAGAGCTTTCTTTCTGAATCAAATTACAAATTATGCTGTAGTATTTATAATTACGTTTTTCAACTATTTTAAAGTCTATTTTCATTCTAAGTGTATCAAACATATAAATCCATGCAACAATTACATAGCAAGGCATTAGAAATTACTGTTCTGAAAAAGTCCTCTGAGGACAAGTTATGCCTTATTTGACAAATATTAGGCTTTTTACTGCCACATATTTTGAGCAAGCACATATTTTACCTAGAATAGATTTTAAAGGCCAGTGCCCAGCAGTTTTCCAGTTGTCTTTCTCCCTTTTAACAGATGTGCTGTTGTTGTGCAGTCCTTTGGAGTCAGGCTTGCTTCCACCACTGCACATGCTACAGGGCTTTTTGGATAAAAAGCTATTCTGTTTTCTTCCACCGACTTTACCAGTAACTCTTACCCCAGCTGCTGTAGTTCAGAGGAACTGAACCATGTGGGAGGACAGCATTAAGGTGCCAGATACACCAAAGTTTTCTAGTGCCTCAGTTTTAAGGATGAATGATCTGGTAGGATTGAAATTCCTTGCTGTCAAATTTACTCTTTGTTCAAGGTAGGTTTAGATACAAGGAAAGAAGAAGTATTTATTTCCAGAATATAGAACAAATCTCACAGTGACTAAGCTTTACAGAGATGCAGATAACATAAATGAGAGAAAGCCATATTTAACCCATTTATCCTCATGATAATTTTGATAACTTTAATGGGTTCTTTCCCTCCTGTCAGTCAAACTCCTCACCTTACTCATGCGTGTGCCTCTGGCAGTGCTGCCAAAGGAGCACTTCTCCAGAGGAGGACATTTACAGCAAAACCATTCCATGCCAGCAGCATTTTGGGACTCTTGTTTTGTCCCAGGGATGCAGATGCCCATTCGTGCTTGGACCACATGAGGCGCAATGCTGGTGAGCACCACCAAACTTCATGTCCCGTGGAGGGACTCCAGCTCCCTCACTCTGACTCCTCTCCATGGTGCAAACTTTGGTGCTAAGTTAGGGTGAGCAGATGAGGTCCAAAGCACTCACTTGATCCAGACTATAATGCTAGTGTAAGTGCACTCAGTAGTGTGGTTGGGGACCCAGGAACTGCAGGAGCAGCCTTGCCTTTACTCTGGCAGCTCAGAGATGCTCTTTTTTTTCCCAGCACATCTCGTTCCCCAGTTGCCCAGGGGGTGGTTTCAGCCTCCTTTCCTTTGAGCTACTCACTCCACAGCTCACTGACAACACTGAGCGAGCTCTCTCAGTCTCAGGCAACACCATCCTGAGACCAGGGTCCCCATACTGTGCATGAGTGTCTCCCTCCATACCTCAACCCAACACCAGTGCAGCCGTGAGTCATCCCCATGGGTGGAAACACCTTCCCATTGTGAGCCAAGCTTCTGCCACACGCTGAAGCTGATCTGTCTTACACGGAGCCAAAGCCAAAATGTGCATTTTACACGATTGCCCAAATGGGATGGGGCATATAGCCTGTCACCAGGTTTTCCTTGAGGTTGATCATGAGAGTAAGCAGTCATACTGGCAATGTGGTTGGAGACAGCTGACCCCCGCCCCAGGGGATACAGTGATATTGGTACATCTGATTTTCTAATCCAAACTGGTTGGTTCCCCAATTGGTTTATTTAAAGCTAATTCTGGATTTTTAAAGTTCCTGACTGGCAGTTTTCAGAAGTCTTATGTGACTCTTTCAGATTTGTGACCAAACAGATGAAATGGGAAATTAGGAAGTGCTGACTTTCTCTCCCTTACCTGGTCCTGGAGAAATTTTAAAGTTTTCTTATGCACAGGTAAGTGCATCCCACCGAAAGTTCTCCATAGTTGACAAAAAACCCACTGTCTGTCAAATATGTAGCAAAGTAATATCAAATCCATGGAATGATGAAAGCAAGTCATGGAACTGTAATCTTAATGGATAATCAATTTATCCCCAAAATGCAGTCTGAGAGCGGCCGAAATTATTTGCTACTTTTTGTCAGGTATGATCCCTAGTTTTAGTTTTAAAAACCAGTGAAAAATATGAAGAGGACAAAATCTGTAATTGCCAACATTTCTTCAAGTATCTCAGTTGTTTCTTTCAGAATGTATTTTCGTCTTAAAGCATAAAAAGGTTTTTGTTTTCTTCTTTAAAGGAAAAAGGCAGCAAAGTCAAATAAAATCCAAAATATTTTTATTATTAAGCTTGCCAAAACAGAAACATCCCATTCATGCAGTTCTATTTACTTGTCTTTCTGGCTGCTCCATCATGTATGACACAAGAGACCAGATACAAATCTGGGATCTCCTTTTTCCATAGCATTTGATTTTTGTGGATCTGTGAAGCTCTACTGCCCAGATCTCAAAAAAAGAATTGTTTTCACCTGTGTTGTAAATGACAATTAAATAGTAGAATCAAGGGAATTTGACAAGGCAGCACTGGCTTTTCCTGAAGTCAAGTGCAACTCATTCAAATGTCTGGGTGGGTTGTGAGAGTAACATGTCTATCCCCCACTATCCTGCCCCATAAATGGTTATATTTTTTCCCCTGAAAACATGACAGACCTCTTATATGAATAAATCATTTTTATTTAAATAAAATTACAGGCATATCTTGTCTATTATAAACTACCATATAGTTTTTCAAAGGCACCGATATTTAACAATAATTTAAATTTTCTTGAGAGCAGCTACCTTTTTCTGAGCGGCATTTGTAAACTTGTCAGACTTCTCTCCACTCATTCAACTCAAGCAAAATCTGTTACTAGCAAAATGCTGAAAATTGTACCTTTTGAGAAGAGTGGGTCAGGTATCTTGCGTAGCAAAAACCCACCCTGAAATGGGGTGTTTCTTTACTTTGTGGCACCAAAAAAACATCAGGCACAAAACCCCACTGTGATACTCACTCTGTGTGTACTGTAAGTTTTGAAAATTAAATCCAACATCTGTTTCTTTGAGGTTTCAGGATCTGTTTTTCCTTGCATTTCTTCGAGCTTAATAATGCAATGCCACCTTCTTTTATGTGAAGAGAGAGTTTTTGTGAGAAGCCTGCCCTACAGCTTTGTGTCACAGACTGCATCCGCCTCCAGGTTGGGCTTCTTTAAAGGCATCTTTTTGCTAAGCATGGTTGCACCAAAACCATCAGATGGGTCTGATGGACTTATTCCATCAATTGTCTGATCATCTACGGGAGATTCACAGCAGGGAGACAGAGGAAGTCATATGGGATACCTCTCAGCAGGCTGAGTCCTGCTCAGGTTTTCTCCCAAGAAAACGCACAGACCTACAGCCACTGCGGGATGTGGGTAAGGACCGGGCTGAGGCGGTCACAGGAGGAACCAGGCAGGCAGACGCTCCTCCGGCCGTCGCGTTTGGGTACTGGCACTTTTCTGTTTCTGAAAAAGCAGTTTTTTCAAAAGGAGAGTTTGCTAAGAATCTTCCACGTTCACAGCTCACTCAGGTTATTGAGTCCCATGAGGCTCACTTCGTCAACTGATTTTGGCTTATCACGACAGACTTTTGTAATAATCCCCAAACTCACTTTGATACATAACTATTGTCTTCACTGCCCAACACTGCAGAAGCTTTATAACCCAACCATGCTAACAGGAAAAAAACCCTGCCCTTTAAAAAAATCTCAAAAATTTAGAGACAAGAGTAATGTGGCGCAATGAAGGTAAGATTATAGCTGGGTGTAATGACACACTGCGTTTGGTCAATTTATTCCTGCTGAAATTAACAGGCAAGCTCCTCAGCAAGGCCGTGGAACCTCCTTCTGGCTTATGCCAACAGAAAATGTGATTTTAATGGAACCACGGTAATGAAACTCAAGTCGTAGATTTGCAGAACAGAGTAAATATCAATTAATTCAGAGTTTACAGTGAGACCACTGCAAAGCTGAGACACAGAGATATAAAAATGCCATACTGATACCTAGTTTACAAGAATGTCCTGAGACAGACTTCATTGAAGTTTGCCAAAATCTCCAAGACCCTTCAGAGAAAGGCACTGAAGAAGGGCAAATAATTATTAAGAAAAGTGGTGATCTTTGGTTATGCATCTGCAGTTTCCTGTTTTACATTTCTAAACATAAAAATGCCTGTAAGCCAACTATTCTTGCTTTCTGAAATAGATTCATCTGGATAATCTGACACCTGGTTACAAGTGTCACTTCACAATACAAGATAAAGATCTAAAATAATTTTTAAAAATTACCAACTGAAGTTTTCTAAAAGGACATAGCAAAGCTCATCCAGTTTGTCATGCTTTTCTTCCTGCTTAGGTTATCCCTTTAGTTTAGAGATACAGCACCTTAATATTTGTACAGTATTAAATGCAATTTATCAAGAAATGCAGTGAAGAAACTTGCATTGTTTCTGCCTATGAGGAGCAAAGTACTTTCTGAAGATCTCCTTCAGAATAAAGGACCTCACTGATTTTGGAAAGGCATTGGTAAGCCTGGTGGTCTAAAATTCGGAATTAACAGTATGTACAGCTAAGGAAAGTGGTCCTTGAAAAACAGAAGGTAAAATGTAGGTCCTAAAAATTAAGTGAATGTGCATTGTTGCATTGAAGGTGAAGGAGCTTTAGAAAAAGCCTTTAATTTTTTTCCTGAGTCCTGGGATCCCTTTGAGCTATAAACTATTTTATTGCTTGTCTTTTTAAGCAATCAGCTTACTGCAATTAATAATTTTATGCGACTTATTTTTTGGTTCTCACTGAAAAAAATATAGGGGAAACTCAAAAGTAGAGAGACCAAATCCTACAGCTCTTGTTCATCTACCTGAGTCCAGCTCTGCATTCCCTTAGGAGCATCTAAAACTATTCTAGTAGAAGGAATACACTTCTGCAGCACCAAACCCGACGCACTGGTACTACTTGAACAGAATTTGTTGTCCTGCACCAGCCTGTTTCTGAAAATAATTAGAAAATAATATTTTTTAGAAGGTGTTCTAAAAGGAAGGGCTGTTTTCCAGAACGATCACCTTACCCGGGACGGATACACCAAACGGCCCGTGGCCACCAGCGTGCGTCCTGTGCTCAGCCCTCTGGAGAGCAGAGCAGTGGCGCAGCAAGTGATCCCTCCTGCCCAGCTGCCCATGCAAGGCTTTCGAAAGATGTATTAGAGCCAGAGTGATGCTTCAGAAGTCCATCTTGTAGGGGAGGTGTGCTTATATACAACATCATTTTCTGATGTCTTTTGCCACATATCAGTTATTTCCCTTCTGTTGAGGGTGGAGATCATCCCAAGCAACACTGATCACTGGAGAGGGCACACTCTTTTTCACTGGATCATAACTTCAGTTTTAGTGGAGAAAATAAATACAGTGTAAAAAAAATATATATATATATATATTTTTTTTTAAGTCACTCACTGCTGTGGATAGCTGGGCATGGGAGCTGCTATGAAGGCAATATCTGCCTTCCCACAGCTCACCATGCAGCACTGCGCAGGCTGCCCAGCGCTTGCAGTGGCAACACAGGGAGAAGGATGCAAATCCATCTCATCCTGCCTGCAAATCAGCATTACCCGCTCCTGACCCAGGCGTGGGATCCAGTTGCACGTCTGCTATGAACCCTGATGAAATTCCACCAAATTTCACCAAAGGAAAGGAAATAACTTAGGGAAAAAAACTGGCCTTGTGGCCAGGCACTGCCCCACTGGACACCCCTCAGTCTTTCTGGAAAAGAAGTTGCTCCAGGCACCGAGGGAAAACAGTAACATCGCTGTCGTTTGAAGTCAAATGATAGCAAAGAGAATGGACTATCTAGGCATGAGAATGAATAGCTGAAATGCCTTGTGATCATCATACACCTCTTTGGTCCTACCAAGATTAATAGTGTCTCTACAGGAGAGAACATACTACACACTCTTCAAGGAAATGCTGAATGGGTTTGCAGTGAGTAGTTCTTTCCATTTAACATAAAGCCATGAGCAGAGACATGAAGGTCTTATGCAAGACAGATGCAAGACTCTGATTTTTTTTTTTATCTTGTTCTACTGTTTTTCCAGGTCTGCACAGTTATTTATGCACAGTTACTTGCAGGGCAACAAACACGCTTATTTGGACACCTTAATTATGGAAATTTAACAGTCCATCCAGCAGCAGCTGGAAAACATTTTGCTTAGCTTTTAATGAGGCAAACACAGAGACTTCATCATGCCACCTCATCCAGTCCAAGTCTGTCTAATATTAGTCTGATTTTCTTTGAAGCATGTGATAAGCAAGGTACTAGTGCAACCACCACAAATCGATACCACACTTACCCTTTGCAAATAAAGACGTAACTGTGTAGATGCAGACAGTACTTGGGGGATGATATTTGCATAACAAGTTGTAGTAAAGAATGAATAACATGGCAAACAAATCTAGAAATGAGGTATCAATTAGCTGAACAGTATAACGGGTAAACTAGTCAAGTTATATCCATACTACATTTCATCTTCTGACTCCTGATCTCTCTCGGATGTTTTCAGTAAACCCATTTCCATGGACTGGGACTGTTTAACCTTTGAACGAACTGCCCTGGAAAAAACAGCACAAAAAAAAAGAGAGTTGTCTGTAGTAACAAAAAGGCTCATCTGGCCATTTTTACACAGAAAAAAACTGTTTAACTCTTTCATCTCATTGGGGAATTAGGATGATTGATTTATGAAGAACTGAAGTTAGCCACTGTAGAAGACATCTTAAAGAGAGGTGGTGATTTCAAGCAGAATCTGGGCAGAATTTAACCCTAGGTCTTAATTGTAGATACCAGTATTTTAGCATGAGTGAGCGCTATACAATGCGAGCGTGTACTGTGACATTAGTAAGTGCTGCCTTTAACAATACCACCTGTATGTACTGCTTGTAAGAGCCTGCTCCTGTGGACACATCTAAGAGCGCACACCTTAAGCAAACCTCAGCGTAACATCTAGAAAGTTCAGCGTTGTGCGGGTACAAGACCAATAACTGTGTTCTCTTGGAGGAGTACTACAAAGCTGTGAAGAAGAGGGCTCCTGGCCAACCTCCGCACAGACGGGAGCTCTGCACAGCACGCCGTGGTCAGCCGGAGGGGCTTGTCTGATGCTGCAGCAGCCCTTGTTCCCAGCCTCAGGAGGGACGTGAGGTTGCTGTCACCTTCTCTATAGTTGCCAACCTTTACATAACAAACCAGTTAGCCAGCCTTGAGATGCTGTGCCTTTTGGACTGAGGTCCAAAAATACATGGCACCTCCTTGGCACAGAGCAAGACTGCAAGAACTACGTATGGCAAAGCGTGATTAAGTAGGGTCATTAGCATGGTAGGGGTAAAACGAGGGGTGAGAAGCATGTTTGGGACAGTGCAGGAAAAGACTTGTTAAGGTCATGTGGGTAGAAGGTGATCACATATGGCAGAATCAGGCTCATTTTTACAACCAAGTTAACTCTGCATTTGGATTTTTGTCGGAATTAGCACTGGGCAGCAAGGAAAAGGTCTAACTTTATAAATGAAGGGATGAAACTAGATGAAAGAGAAATCAGGTCTAATCACAGGAAATTGCTAGCAATGAAACTTGTCCAATAACCTTCAAATTTAAGTCATGAAGTCTGCTGACTAAGCCACTTGGAATTAGTAGATATGAGCACTGGGAGAGAAGATGTTGTAGGAAAAAATGGTCTCTCCTCCTTGTAACCTTTTATGTACTTACGAATGTGGAAGAGTAACAAGAAGAGCTCATTTTATGTGAAAAGCATTATACCGTCAGAGCTGTACTTTATGAATGTTTTTCCCCTTTCTACTGAAGCAATGAGTCACATTGTCTTCATTGATTAGCAATGTCTATTGTTATTTTACCTGGCAAGACAATTAATTACTTTGTGGAAAGCTTTTGATTTGTCAGTGAAACTTTTCTAAAATAAAGCTCCTGCTAGACTAAATAGACAGTTCTCCGAAATTTTAAAGTTTCAAGTAACTTACCAGCTGACGATTGTGTAATTCACTGCAAGTATAAGAAAAGCAAAGGCGTAATGCCAGCAATAGCACATGGTCAGGAACATCATATTAGTATGATCCGTCTGATTCCACTCTGGACTCCCATTTGGAGGATAAAGCACAAAACCAATCTGTAATAAAATAAAAGATATTTAGCAAACATCATTCGATGAGTATCCTATGCCATCTCACGTATTATGCTACCTATCACAAGGCAGACATTTCATTTTCTTTTAGTGCTGACTATTTCTGTTATTATTATTAAGAACAGTTTTGCAGTCACACTCAGATGTGATGGATCAATTTACACGGTTCTGTGCAGAAATGCCTTTCAAGATGCAGAGCCAGCCCCAGAGATCCCCTGCCCTTGCCCAGAGAATTAGGGAGCTAGCCCAGCAAGTTCTGCAACAATCACAATTATGTCCTGTAAGGAAAGGGACTGATGCTCAGCCACATATGGTCTGAACTGCAAACATGGCACCAACCAGAAAACCTGCCCGGCCATTTGCAGTGACTCGCTTCTTCACAACAGCATCTGGGAATGTGTTACATGGCTCAGAAGATGAACAATAAATTAATAAAGGCAAGCCATATGTGTCTTTCTTCTGGGCCACCCAGGGAAAAGGTCAGGTTTAGAAATTACATAAAAATGAAGCTTTCTCACCCAAGGCTAGAAGTTCATACGAAATACATAGCTGATTTGTTTCTTCAGAGCTGGGAAAGATCAAATTCATGTTAATGAATAAACTGGGAAACTAGTAATCCCGGGGCTACACAAAGGTCTGCGTGACAAGCACTGGTCCTCTGTACTGCCTAATACTCTTCAAAGTCACCACTCAGCAGTTTAGCTGAGAATTTAGGAGCTGGGAAGAGGAGGAGAGGAAGGAGGAGGGGAGGAGTACATTTTGAATTTCCATGCAGAGAATTCAATGAATGAGGGTGTTGATGATGCAGAAGGAATGTCCCTTTACCTTTTACAAATTTGTCACATTGCAGCCAGTATGTGGTTTTCAGACGCACATACAGTTGAAGTCTGATGTGGGTGTGAAAAAAGCCACACTTAAATCTCTTGTATTTTTAGTTGTTCAATTTTTTACTTTGAAACAAAATGCACATTGTCTCCAGAGACAAAGAAATAACTTGTTCTAAAATTAGACTAGGCAGACAAAGAGAATAAATGGTTGCATCTAATTCCTCTTATGTAAAGCTTCTTAAATCACCAAGGAAACATTTACAAACAAGAAGATAAAACACCAAGTACTGTAGCACCAGGTTCTCGAGTTCACTTATAGAAAAATACTGCTGTTTTGGAGGTCTGTCTTCTTGCCAGAGTAAGTATTTAAATATTTGATTTGGTGCTGAGTGTCCAGTTCTCCTAAGGAACAACAAACGTTTTTATTAATCGTGTCTGGCCAGCTTATAAAAAAGGGAAGCCAGTCTAGACATGACGGAAAGAAAAATCACTGGAGTGACCTCAGTTCTCCACTATAAGGTGAAACACATCAGCACTAGTGCTCCTATGTCTACGTTACAAGATCACAGCGATTCATTAAATTCTCTCTCTGGTTTGACAGCAGAGAAAGGGTCTCTATCAAATATCTATTAATTGGATAGAATCACAAGTAAGTGAAGGCATGGCAGCTACATTTTGAAGAGTCCTTTTGGGACCCGCATCCCTGAAATATAAAAGTTTGGGCTGTTACTTCTTCTGCTCAATTTCCAAACACTGGAAAAGCAGGAGGCGTTACATCACTCAATCTCTTAACATGAATCAGGTGCTCAAATACCTTTTAAACCTAGGTTGCCACTGCTGAAATGCTCTTCAGAAAGCAGAAAGAGGCAGCCAACACGAAAGATAATTTGCACCTTGGTTCCTCTTCACGCAGTGTCAATGGGTGCATTGCCTCACCCCTCCAGCACTCCTCTGGGCATTTGCTCACTCCCCTGGCAGCTCACATTGGGGACTGTCTTCATAAAGAACAGCATATATTGCTGGGCTGTAAAATCACTCCCATTTGGCTGGCAAACTTTGAACAGGATGTTACAGAGATCAGAGGGGATGTTCAATAACAAGGGAGAGCTCAACAAAACCACCTCAGCTTTTGTATTGATTCAAATAAAAGACACTAGAAGTAAAACAGCTTCTTCATCTGTAAAACAGATATCATAAATACTTTTGTCTCTTTAAAGGAACACTAAGAGTGCATTGTTTTTGGAGTCCTTTGAGGTCTGTGATTAAAGGGCATATTATATCACCTGTGAAACAACTGCAAAGGCGTAAATGTCTAATTTTGATGAAGGAAGAAATTCCTAAGGTGGAAAAGTGACCTACCTGCCAGAACCAGCTGCCTTGTAATATGCAGAGACTTGTACGGAGCATCTCTAGCACAATACTGCCGCGGAAGAAAACTTCCAAAAATATGCAAATAGCAGCTCCAAAGATAGCAAATAGCAGTAACTGATGGACATGAACATCCAGCATGGCTCTCCCATGAAGATGGTAGCAAAAGAGAAAACCTGGAATAAATTGATCCGTTTAAAGTGTTTTCTTCCCTTGTAATCTCCCTGCACCTGCTTTTAGAAAACAGTGAACATTTAGCATTTCTTTTTATGCCAATATCACCTTCTCAGCTGAACTGAGAGTAATTTTTTAAGACTGATGCCAATGTATTGTATACTCCCACTCTTGAGCTCAGACCAGGAAATTGCTTGGGAAGCTGCAGGTTTGTCACCTTTCGTTTAAAACACGTTTACAAAAAGTCTCGTTCATCCATCTCTGCAGAGTAGCAAGATATATGCTATGACATATACCATGTGTACAGAAAACATAAATTGAGTGTGTCTCCAGTGTGATTCCAACGTGTGATTGCTCTCCAGGTAAATGCATTCACACTGGCTTTAGCTAACAAGTTGCGTACCATGTCAGTGCATACATTGACACACGTGACCGAGCTGCTGAGCACTTACCCAAAACAGACTTGTGCTGATATTTTTATAACATTTCTGTTGCTATCTGAGCCAGTTAGGAAAGCACAGATGCACCTTTACAACGGGTGATTGTGATCTGGGCTGCTGTGCAGGCAAACCCTCGGCAGTTTAAGGAGGTCCAAGACCGATCTTTTTAAAACATTTCTGGGAGTTAAACACCCAGCTCCCGTAGGCTCATCCTCTAAGGCTGATTTGAGATTCCTGGACCAAAGACTGATTACCCCTCTGCAAGTTTCATGCACACCTCTGCAGGGAGAGGTAAACCAACCTTCAATAAACACTGCCAAGGAAAGCATCATCCTGTCCATGGCCACTGGCAATGCGTTGGTCCCATGAGCCACGATGTCAACCAACCCTGAAATGCCATAGAAGAGGTACATGGTGGCATGTTGCCAGTTCATCAAGTGATCCCAGTGCTTTTCCTCATAATTATACAACTTCAGGTGAGGTCCATCGGGAACAAACTGCTCAGCCACCATTCCTGTGCATGAAGTGAGAAGTATAACTATTTGTCCTGGCACTTAAGGTAGAGACTGATGATAAATCTTTATGCAAACAATAGAGGCAACAATATATCCCTACGCAGCATAACACCAGACAATTTGGGGTTTAGTCTGACTGCCTGAGAACTGCTCTGGATGACTGTTATGTCTTGCTGTCTTCTGCCCAGTTCAGCCATTCCCAATAAAGTTTTTAACATGTTGTCCAAATTCAAGTGAAAATGCAGAGGCCTCAAATATATTAATTTTATATAAATTTTCAATAAAATAGGCAGTGGGTGAAGGAGAGATGAAATAAGTTGCTTTGCTGAGGGAAAGACCACAGAGTGAGCTCAAGCATATATTAAGCATCACATAATCCAGAGAGGAGAAAGCCAGAGGAAATCAGGCTTCAGCTCCACTCCTGGTGGGACTATTTGCATCTTGAAGTTTCCAGCAGTGAAAATGGAGACAGCTATTCTGTGCTGCTTTTTTTTTTAAAAAAAAAAAAAAAAAAAACAAACCAATTGCTATTGTAGTAGTCCTCTGACTGAATTTTTCAGCTGCCTTTCCTAGTGGTTCAAACATGAGTATAACACATGCTGAAGTCCCCAAAAGAAAGATTTACCATTTCATTTGCCTTCAATATGCAGGATGGCAGAGTTCAGACTCTTAATTCAAAGGGGATTTTTCCCATAAAGCCATAAAAGGAAATCCCTCCACCATGCAGAGTTATTAAAAGTCCCATGAGAACATATACTGAGTTAGTATTTGAATTGCTGCTCCACCGCCTCCCTTACCTTGGCCCCTTGGTGTCTTGCTAACTAGCTGCAGTACTCCAGCAAGGGGAAAGCTGCTTTTAGATACTTTATATGATCAATGAAGTTTAGGAAGGGTTTAAAATACGTTATGTTTTTAAAACGTTAAAGTTAATTATATTGTTTATAAAGCATGGGCCAGCATCCTGCTGTATAAGTAGGTATGCTGCAGAGCAAATGCAGTATTTTTTCACCTTTATTTCAAGTTTTCCTAACACAGAAACAGCAGGTTTTACTCCTGCTGCTGCTTTTACTGTTTGTCTTTGATAGGCTTTTGTGTCCACATTTTTGACTGGAATTAAAATTACCATACATTAAAATACTAGCTTTTTGTTTCAGAGTGAAAATAAAGACACTAGACGAGTGTTTTAGCTGCCCAACTACCTCTAGACACCAGTTGGGAGATTTGTAGGAAAGATGTCCCCACTCACACCTCAAAATGAATGCTATTATTTAGATTTTTATAATTTTTTTAAGGCATATCAAAGCATATGTTGTACAAAAAGCATCACTTCAATGCTGATGCATCTTAAGTGATACAACTTCCAGAGGGGAAGGAAAAGCAAGAACAAGATTTTGGCACAGCCTGCACATTGATTAGAAACCAGGCAACTCTGAGCATCTCAAGAAGCGTAGATAGATAGAATCTAAAAATCCTGAAAATTAAGAGCCTTTTCAACTTGAAAGCCACATGTGCTGAGCTTCTAAGGTCCCCTGTTATTTAGCTTATTTATTCTATAAAGGTGATTTGCTAACATACAGCCTGCAGGAATGTAAACAAGAACTAGGCACTTCCAGTCTCTGCACAGCTCACTAAACCGTCTCTATATTTGTACCCAGGCCAGTCCACAACAAAAGGAGAAACAGCCGCCCTCCCCCCCTCCCCCCCACACTATTGCAATAGTCCTGCAGCAATAAGATCTGGAGTTCCATCTTTCTTTGCCAATATTTTAATTTTTTATTTACCTTAATGAAGAACCATCTGCATTTACATATTTTATCAATAACTCAGTGGAGTCTACTGACATCTGAGACAGCTGGATTCAGAATAGAAAAGCAATGCCCCCATTGCTCGGGCTCCTAGTCTGCATGTGAAAGCCTCTTGCCTAAATATCTTATCTCCCTCCCTGCAGTGATGAACAGCGTATGAGGGCTTGGATGGACCATCTGTGAAGTAGTCAGGAGACATTAAAGAAGCCCCAGAAGAGCACTATGGAGGGAAACCATGTTGCAGTCTTAGTTACGTAATAAATAGCAGTAGCCCCACTAGTTCTTAGATTCATGGTATTTAGAGGACAAAATACCAAAACACAGTGAGATATGGTTTATCAGAGAACAAATTTTTAAAAAAATAAAAAGGGTTAAAAAGCACAGCTTTTTTGTTGTCTGTCCCAAGCCCACCTTACTTACCAATCAGGGCAAAGACAGCTTTGATGATCCCCTCAACAAACTCCAGGCGCTGAAATCCTGCCCTGGAACCAAGGTAGCAAACGTTCTTGTTTTTTCGACAGGCGTACTTCAGTGGATACTTCACTGACCACCACAAGCCAAAAAGAAGGAAAAAGCTTCCAGGGAGGGCATGCCCTTTGAAATTGCCCATGGTTTTCTGCTAGGCGATACCTGAAGGTGAAACAAATGCAGATCAACTGTGGGAATAGTAGGAGAATTCTGTGGGTTATAATTTTCAAGCATCTCCTTGCATTGATCAAAAGGGTGTCACTGAATTAAGTACTCACACTTTATTCAAAAATAAATTTGGGTAATTATCTTCCCTAGCTGTTCAAAACATCCAGTCAGTCTCCTCAGTTTCATAGCTTTGCAGAACAAGAGACCCAAATGGAAAGCAGCTGACCTGAAATGCAGAGCTGGCAGTTGGCAAGTTAAGAGAAAAAAAGCCATAGTACACTATGTCATGCTGTTGAAGTTGTAACAGCAACAGAGAGAACATGAATAATCACAATTTGGTTCTTTCACCTTTAGAGAGGTTTTTATGTTTCTGTACTCCACAAACAGAAATCAAGACAATACCTGACTGAAGGAAAAATTAATTATGTACAGATCCAGCGGGTAACTACTTACTAATAAATTTTGTTTTGCATTTCAATCCAGATGTCTCATTATGATTTACAAACATCAAGCCATTCTCAATATTTGATAGGTGAATTATGCACCCACAACTAGATACAAATTATCAATTACAACAAGTGCACTGAGTAATAAGGTTATTAGTTGGTCAGTGTTATACAGCCATTTAAAAGCAGTGCCATTTATAGTACGTAGTAATTCTGGTCATCATCCCAATTTTTAGGAGAGTCGGCTTATCTCCAATAGCTTCTTCATTAAAATGACAGTTCTAACATTGAAATGCAGTTTTTCTTTAAGTTGTTACAAACTGAGTTGTTGTGCATCATCACTCAAAGGCATACTAAATCTTTGCACAGGCAACAGTCAAGAATAACCACTTTAGAAATATTGGCAATCTGTACTTTCTGTTATTATCATTGCTGACTTAAAAATCTGATTGCCACACTACACTGGAGCCATCTGGTTATGAATAGAACATAGAGGTTCTGGTATATTTTTCTTTTCCGTAAGTATTTCCTATGGTCAGCTCTGCATAAGAAGTTTTAAACTGTGGCTTGTGGGCCATAGAGTACTTGCAGATGGTTCACGTAATGCTGTCTAGTCACGTAGCATAAGCCCTCTCCTATTTCTGGAGGCAAAACTCCACCGAAAGCATTAGGGGTTTTTTAAATTTTTTTCAGAAGAGAAACTTTTCCACATGTACAGGTCCTGAAGCTGCCATAAGACTATTACCCAACTGCCTGAGGAGAGGTGACCTATATAGCCACAAAGGAGAAGAAAAAAAAAATACCACTCTTCATGCATAGCATGAGGCAGGCTGTGATTTAAACAGGGATGCTGAAGAGGATACTGCCCCCACAGCCTGTCCCCCTCCTCTTCCAGAGCCACTTTCTCCCACTATAAGAGCCGCAGAAGGGGAGGGGTGAGCTTTAACAGCTTTCCCTGGGCAAAACTCCCCTTAGCGAATTTCTAGGGAAGTACTAATGGAGTACAAGAAACTGGTACTCGTTGCCCAAGCGAGCCCATTTCTGGATGTGTCCTCGCACGTACTGCCAGTGCTGGGAAGGGACGCGTGCCGAGATGGCTGCACCGAGCCCGGGGCAGGCTCCCGGGGACGCGGTGCCTGCCAGGCAGGAGGCAGCCAAGGCGGGAACGAGGGACGTGCCTAGCTACTCTTGCGAAACGTAAAGGGCTCCATTTGGGATTTCTGCTGTGTGGGGAAGGGCTCCTGTGTGCCCTCTGCCTCCTGTCAAGGAGAGGAGCGAGGGTGCCATGCTCAGAGCTGTTGTGGGGGGCTTTGCCTTGCCCCCCCGGCCGGGCGGCCGCTCGGATCAGAGCAGGAAAAGCCGTGAGGAGGAGCGAGCAGCGGCAGGCCCAGCCACCAGGATGGGGATTTCGGCCACCTGCATCCATCTCTTCTCACAAAATGCTGAATTAACCTCTAAGCCTCCTTGGAGCTGAGCACGACAGTGGTGCCAAATCCTCCTGCTTGTGAGCTGAGCATCTCTGATCCTGGCCCAGGGCGGGGTGGGCAGGGCAGGAGGACAAGGTGACAGCTGAGGGTCCAAGTGTTGGGAGAGCCTTCCTCTTCCTCCTCTGCCTCCCCCACCACCCTTAAAGTCCTACTGGGTTGATGCGTGCGTGTTTTATTTGCAGGTGAGGAAAGTACTGCTCACCCTCGAGCAGCCTACAGCGCAGCCGGGTTCTCAGTGGTGCAGCTGCGGGGGCTCAGCCCCACAGGTTAGATCCAGCCCCTGTGGTCCCGCAGAACAGGTACCTCATTTCAGGACATCTTTAGGTCAAAGAATTTGACCAGCTTGTTAACCACTGCCAGCACTCATTGTGCCATTAGTTGCCTCAAAATGGGCAGTACTAACAGGAGCTGACATTTTAGACAGTTGCCTAAACTTTGCTTTAAACTTTGAACTACTCCTGCTTTGAAAGCCTTAATTTCTGGTTCTTCTAAAACTCGCTGGCCTGAAAGGCACTGCTGTCTTTTTGGACATGTTGGTTTTTCACCTTCTTTGAATGAAAGGAAGAAGGAAGAAGTGAGGAGTGGCCTTTCCTCACCATATATCTGATCTCACTGAATACCATTCATTAGAAAGACTTTATTCATTAGATATTTTATTATTCACCACAGGTACATAGCACTCCAAATGGAAAGATTTACCCTGCACGCCACATCAAAGAGAGATACTGGATTAAAAAGGTAAATTAAACCTATGAAAAGTCTCCCTCTAGGAGAGTACAGCTGCGGTGAGAGTCACATGAAGAACAGTGTGCTAATGTCATCTGTAGTGCACAGTATACAAAACTTCAAAAGTAATTCTCAATCTGTAAATTCACACCTGGGTTATCTAGAGCTCTAATCACTGCAGGATTTTTCTGCCCTAAATCTGGGTAATCCATCAAGATACTCTCTTTAAAAGTATTTTTTGCCTTTCAAAACAAGGGAAAAGATGACTGATATAGCAGGTACTGCTGTTTATCCAATATAAACAAAACAGAACCAGAAAAATTGATTTTTTGTTATAAGCAATACTATCATGCATTATCAGCTTTAGAGGGTGTAAACTTCAGTTCGAATTCATTCAAAGATGTTGGGGAATATTTGTAGGATTTCTATAGAAAGAGACACGTCAGATCTGCCAGACAGCTGTTGTGGCAGGCCTCTGGAACACTGAAACTCAACAGAATTAGTTTCAGAAAGGAGTTATATGAATTATACTTCAAATCCTTCGTAAACTTTAAAACATCATGATAGAGCTTTGAACTGATTAAACTTCCCAACTCAATAATTTTCTCCTATTAGGCCTGAGGGTTTATCTCAGTGAGGCTAGAATTCAACTGCCACCACTCCCAGTTTTGATGTGACTGAAAAGCTTTGCCTGCAAGTAAACCAGGTGATATTGCACAGTTTGTGGGCTTAGTATGGCACTGAGGACGCGGTGAGGATAAGCAGAGCCTCCCCTGCAGGAAGATCACTGTGGGGTCAGGAGGTGGATCTGGGAGGTGTGAGGCAGGGGTGCAATGGGGGTGGAAGGAGAGGAGGACAAGTTGGCAGGCTGTGCTTTGGCATCCGTCCTGTGCAGCCCAGGAGAAAGCAGCTTCTTCTGCACAGCTCGGGAGCCAGCTAGTTTTAGTATCTCAGGTGCTATTGGCTGGACAAATATGGCATCAGCATGTTATGACAATACTTAATAAATCTGAGGGTTTATTTTTTACAGAGCCTTATCCCATAAGCTGGCAAACAAATCACTGGAGGACTGATATTGCAAGATGTGCAAATTCCAGATCCTCTTCCACCCTTGGTGATTTCAAGGCCAGGGGTGCTGGCAGAGTCAGTTATTTCCAACAGCCACAGCCACATTCTTGGCAGCAAACCTTCCTTGCTGCCCACTACCTTCCTTAAAGCAGATCATCCTCCAGAGATGCAGAGAGAACCCTGAGGCTGCCCCACAGCCGGGTGCAGTGAGGTCTGGGTTCAGCCATGTGGGGTCTGCCCGTGCTCCCTCCACTGCCCCCCAAAGCCACCCACTCACACCAGGTGCTACACACGTACCTGGAGCCGGGGACCTGCTCACACAACCCTATTCCTGACCAGTTCCTGCTCCTAACCCTGCCAGGCAAAGCCAGGGGTGCCGGTACCTACAGGAGGAACGCAGGCAGCTGGCATCACCAGGCTGCAGCCCTTGCCATGGATGACAGGGCTTGGTTTTCCAGCCAGCACACACAGACTCCCTGACCATTGCTGATCGAATCGGCCCTGTTACCTGCCGCGTGCACCCCCAGGATCCCTGCAGGCTCACCCAGCTTTTCGTGTCTCCATCCTGAAGCCTCACCACCCAGGACCCTTCCACCACCAGCAACCACGGGGCCACAGCAGTGAGGGCACCAGCAAAGCAAATTTTGGACTCTGGCAAAGCAAATTTTGGACTCTACCTGGGAGGAGCTCCCTCCCCACTGACTGCCAGGGCTGCCAACCTGAGCAGTGTACCCAGGAACCAGCAGACAAGATGCATTCTCCAGCCCAGATTTGGGCTTTCCATAGCAAGTACTCCTCAAAAATCCACTCTTGGGAGGGTGTGGGGCACACCAGGAGGGGAAGATGCTGTCAGGGTTCAAGGGTGCCCATGAGCCTTATTTGGCTCATCCAGCCTCACCCAGGAACCACACCCCAGCACCCCCATCCAGGGGGGCAGGTGGGAAAGGAGAGGAAGAGCAAAGGCAGTTTCCAAGTGAGCATTCAGGAGAAGGTATGCCTTTTTGTGGACATTAAAAGCTGCCATTTTAGCCTGAAAATTATCTTACCTTGGTGGAAGAATGAAAGGCAGGTAAGAATAGACTTACATGGTTGATTTAAACGTCTTCTAACTTTTTCAGGAGGGACATTTCATAAGATTTACTGGTTTGATTCCTGATCTCTTGAGGACACCCAAGCAGGGACTAAAGCAAGACTTGCAGGTGGTATGGAACAACTAGCTATATTACCTGGTTACTCAGACTCACTTCTTGAAGGAGTAATTAGTTTT